AACTGAATTTATTTTTAATGTGTTTCCTGAACGTTGTTATTTGACCTTGAGGATAACTGAAGGTGTTAACACATTATTTATATCCCTGCTCACTACTTTAAAGTGATCTTCTGTTTTTTTCCACATATCGTTCTAAAACATAAGGTGTTTTGAAGAAGGAGGTTTCTTTTGACAGCCTATTTGTATTCTTCCTGAAGTGCTTTTCTTTTGGCAATGCATAACGTGAATCTGGAAAATCAAAAGGGGATTTGTGCATAATTGTGGAACTGACTATATTTTATCATTGATTTTTTTTGCTCATTATTATGCTGGTTGATGAAATATTCTAGGCCAGAGACTTGTGAATAAATCTTGATTAAATGTGTGTTAAAGAAGCAGTTGATGCTTTGTGCTTTTGTGGATTTTTATTGGATTTACAGCTAGGTCAGAATTTCATTTTAATCTGCTAATTTACCTATTTATTAGCAATAAAATAAATAGTCATATAAAAACTTGTAAGTAAAGTGGAGCATATGTGACTTTGTGGAAGCAAATTGATTGAATTTGTATTTTTTTTGAATTAGTACCCTCTTCTACCTGTGTGCCCTTCCCCCTGCTTCCCTCTTCCCCCCGCAAAAGAAAAAAAAAAAAGTTTTGAAAATGCGTTTTTTCTCTAGAATCTTTCAAGCACTTAAGACCTTCTGGTTGGATTCAGTCCCATTTTTTTTTCACTGTGTACACACTATGGAAAATGTAGACCATCCGTTCCAACGATGGAGGAAATATCTGATAACTTTGTAATTAAAAGATACTAAAATACTTAAAGAATATTTCTCTTTCAGCAGTGATGCAGTAATGACTTCTGTCCTACTTCCCCTTAACTGTTTCTGTTCACAGACTAGGTTTTGATCTTGGTTTAAAGCAATATATCCTTGTTAGGAATAAGGCAGTCTCACATTACTTGTGAGAATCTTTGACATTTGAGTGTGGCTGGTTTTGAACTAGATATTTACAAGAGGGACAGTAGTCCCTGCAGAGAAGAGGGAGGAGGAGTGGAAAAGGCAGAAGGATTCACAAGTGAATCAGTTGCCAGGGAGAAGGCAGCTGGAGACTGGATTTGGCAGGAATATTTCACTTTGACTTTCCCTTCCTTCGCAGCATGTGTAGGACTTGTGGTTATGGTTCTCGTGTATTGGAAAGGTTCATGAAGGGTGAGTGAATTAGAATTTAGGTCTGTTAGTACTAATAGCTCCTAAGAGGTCTGCTCCAAGCCTAATTGCTCAGAATGGCTAAAACTCGCATAGACAAATGGCAAGCTCTGTGTGGAAGGGAATAGAGCTGCAGTTCTTCTGAGCTGATTGGAATGGGTTGCAAAGGGAAGACACGAGGAAGCCCCGTCAGCCCTGCTGAGCACCTGTGTTTAGTTTCTGGGGTTGCTCAAGCTGCTGATGTTTTTCAGGGGCAACGTTTGAAACATGCATGAGAATGTCAGGTGTAAATTAAAGTCGAATATTCAGCAATTTTTATGTAAACCATATGTTTTATGTATCCTCTTGTAATGAAATCTCATTATTACACAAGGTTAACTTTCAGCTTTTTCTGTGGCTGTTTCACTTAGCTTTAGGAAGTAGGTATTTATGGTTTATTTCACATAAAATCTGCCTCTGTATAAACCTAGGCAAGTGTCAACACAAGTGTTGTGGCTGGTTGCCCTTCTTTAAACTGCTCAAAAAACAATTTCACAACATGCATGTACCTGGCTGTGATTGCCAAAACCTAGTCATGGTGCCAGGTGTTGGATATTCATCTGCTAATTCCTCTGTTAGAAACAATGCGGTAGGCTGATGATACAGTCTGGAGGCTATGTCTTGATTTATCTTTATAAAAGATGTGTCAAAATTTGTTAGAATATTTTTTTTTAAATGTTAAGAATGTTTTCAAAAATTTTAGTTTGTTAAGGGAGATTCTTAAGATGAAAGGATTTACTTTCCTTTGGCCTATAAAAATCTATTATCTGCGATCTGTAATTAGGCTCATGGCATGATCTAAAGGACAAATGGTGCTCACTGAACTGCATCATTGGCCTTATTGTGGTAAAATGACCCATTTGATTTTGCCAGCTGTGACTTTGGAGGCAGGGTGAATGACAGAGAACACATGAAGCTTTACATATTAAAATATTTCTAGAGCATAGCTGTTTGTGAAACATTCAGAATTGAGCAGCAGTTCTTTCTTGCTAATGATTTCATGTTCTAAGGAGCACTGTGTTTTGTATGGGGTCTCCTGCCCAGGCAGAATCTACCAGTCCTTACTGATGCAGAACTCTCTTTTCCACAGAATCACTAAATGGAGGAGCATAATGTTGAAGCAAGAGAAGAAAAATGACTTTAATTACAAAAACAAGTGATTTGACTAGTTCTTGCACTACTGAATGTGAAAAATGCGCAGTTCCAAACTTAACTGTATGCTTCCTCAATATTGTGATTTTTAAATGAGATCTTAGGAGTTTTTCATTAGCATTTCAGTCCATATCATCCTGATATGTACACTGTTGAGCAGGCCAAGTGTTAATTCTAGGGAAAGTAAGGAGTAAAATCATATACATGGGATAATAACACTTTGTATCTATGGTAACGTCAGTAACATCTTTCGTCAGAGGAGTCCAGTGTGCTTGATAGATACTAATGAACAAAGGATTGGTCAGGCTTATCAGCATGATTCTACAGATGGTGTACTTGAAGCATGAGTTCAGTCACTTATTCAAGTGCAAAGGACTAGCAGTTTTTTGATTTCTCTGCAAAAAGCATCTACTAACACAAATTAGAAGGTACTTGCAATAAGATAGCATCTTTCATCAGAAAATACAGAAGTATCAGGCTCAAGAGGTGCAAAGTGTGTCCGTACTTTGTGATTGGGCACATACCACAGACAGCCACTTCTAAAAGAGTTACCAGTAGCTGTCAAGGAGATCTTAGCAGTTTAGCGCTTTGTTGTGAGTATGTTCTGTGTGGTCAGAAAGGTGTCTTACTCCGTTAGTCATTAACTCACAAATAACTAAATATATTTTCTGAGTGACATCTGCACTTCTACTCTGCCATGGTCAAGTTCCACCTGTTTCCATCATAACATCTGTGCATAATAAAAGTTACACTTCTTTTCCGGTAAATTGTCTGTGGGATTAATATTAACAGTGCTTCCAAACAATATAGTTTCTTTAAAGCACTGTTGTTACCATTGCACATACTAAAGACAAAAGTACTTATTTTATGAATAGCAAATGAGCTTTGAAAAAACAAATCGGTTTGCAGTGAAATTCAAAAATTCTCTGCAAGTATTGGGTAGGTGCTGGCATCATTCTGAAAAGAAATACACTGTAGTTCCAGGCAGTGCAAAAAAATCTGCTACTATCAAAACCCAGATTATCAGATTAGGAAGC